AGAGGTGGTCCTATACTAAATTGGTTTATATGCGATAATTGGATCATGAAGAAATTAACGATAATCTTAAATTTTTTATAAGAGAATTGAAGTCGGTCTTGTTTTCGCTTAAAAATTACTTGTTTTTATTCATACGGCCCATTAGCACTTGATTGTTTTGGAAATTATAGATATCGACGGTACTTTGGCAAAACCTCGTATCTCAAAGCACTCTTGAAAAACTGTTTCTACGAAAGAACTCCATATTAATAACAGAACATCAATCATTTGTACTACCTTTTTAACTGAAAATTAAAGACTAAATACATTTTAGTTAATTACGAATAATATACAATGAATAGTAGTATTTTAAGGCCTATTTTGAATTAATTTTTACGAGACACGTAGCAGTGACTTCTGACATACGTTGGGCAAATTACCGTCGACATTCTACATACATACATATATTTTTCCAACATAAAGCCTTGAAATTCAAAATATATATATGTGTAGCCGCATATTGAATCATTTCGTTCATCAACATACATACATATGTATGTATAGCGCGGCGCGGAAAATTGAGAGCCATAAAACTAAAGTGGTACATTTGCCGTCGTCCACATCTGCCTGAAACGCTTTTTCATTGCGTGTGCCTTTTTTCGTATGCGTTTTGCTGTTGTTTTCGGTTTATACCAAGGCGGATAGGAACCATGTTGATCCTTCATTGTTTTACTATTGTAGACATGTACCTTTCCAGTTTTTTCATTTATTTCTGTAAAGTTCTGACCTGGCTCCCGACGTTCTTCCATCTCATGCTCCAGTTCTTGTTCTTCGCGTGATTTATTTTCCTGTAAAAGACATGTAAACATATCGTGAATATTTTTATTTCTTTTGAATAATAATCTCTTCCCACATACTTGTTTCAACTCCTTTGCAGTTTTAACTGTGGCTATGTCAGAAACGTCTTTCAAAATTTCATTACCATCAGCATCAATAATGCCGAGTGTTTTCTTGAGGCGAATGAGCTCTTTTGCCTCATATCGGGCTTTTTTAATTTTATTCATCTCATCCCGTCGTTTGCGGGAGCGATTTAAGCGGCCCATTTCGTAGGTTTGTGGAAAAGGAAACTATTTTAAATAAGGATAAAATAAATGTAAACACGTGTGATATTTTTAGAGATGCTTACGATGAATCGATATCTTTGAAACGTAAAATCGTTTCAAAATTCGAGATCGATACTTACAATTTCCTATTATCTCTAAATTGACGACTTCATCGATGTCAGTTTCAACTATATTTTAAACATCGACTTCTAAAATTTAACCGGCCGTCTTCAAGTGCTGGAAAATCTCGCTTCCGAAACGACGCATGCGAGATCCCACAAAAAGTACGAAGCATACTTTTTCTCGCATAGCGAGAGATTTGGTGTTCCTCAGTGAAATAATCATACTATACCAATTTTCATCAACAAATGGAAAATATATTAATTTTTAAATAACGTAATTGAAATTAATGAGAAAATGTAGTGCTACCTACACACGAGGCAACCGTTGAAGCAACGTGGTGAGGCAACCTATTTTTCTTGTTTTGTACACACCTCAACTCAGTAGTGTGTGCTCTGTTGTAAAATGTACAAGCGGGAGAAAATTTTGTTTTCTACCAAAATACTTTTTCCACTCACTTTTTTCAATGAACTAAAAGCTCAGTTAGTCTAATTTCAATAACTTAACTTAACTTAATATTTTGACCAACCTGTTATATGAGAAACTGTGTTGGCGGTTAGTTAAAACTTAACTTACCGTAAGAAACTTAACAACCTGTAGATTGTAAGTTCTTAAGTTACGGTCTTACGGAAATTGAGAGCGGTGAGAGAATCAGGCTTGCCAGCCCCTCGTTTTTGTATCTGTAATAAATGAAAGCAAACATTTTTGTTTGCATGATTTTTTTTGATGTGGCATTTTAGGCGGCGAACTTGTATACAGCTGAAAGAGATAATACAAAAACAAAATATTTCCGCTCTTGGCTTAAGTTGACGTGTAGAGTAATAATTGATGATTTCTTACGGTAAGTTAATTTAAGTTAAGTCTAGACTAACTGAGCTTTAAGTCAATAAACTCAATGCACAACGATACACACGAGGCAAGCGACAAGGCAACCAAAACAAATATAAAAAAAAAATATAGTTCGGGCAACGGTTGCCGCAACACTAATTTCTATGAGCAACAATGCTACACACGAGACAGAGGTAGAAGCAACATGCCCTAGTTGCCTCAACGGTTGCCTCGTGTGTAGTCAGCGTAATAATGAATAGATAATTTTATAATTTAAACTGATATATACTCTGTTCTACACTTTTAGTGCACTCTTCGAACAGACCTACTATCTGACAGATCCACTATCTGACAAGTTAAATTTGTGGATTGTGAATGAGAACAATATGACAAAGTAAATGCTAAAAGTCAAGAGAAAAACAAGCAACCAAAAACGTAAAGTCCTTCCAAACAGCAATCAGATTATTTTGCAACAGACGTATTTAGAAAAGTATTCATAACAAAAAATCAGAAATCAGAAAAAGTCTTCTCGAAGGCAAACCAAAATGGTATTGCGGTCGGGCATAATTATCCCTTTTCAATTCCGTGACAACAAGAAGCTGCTGATGATTGGGGTACCTGAGGAAAACCGTAATCTGAACATCTGGGATTTGAGGAATGTTGGTATGTAAAATAATAATAATATGGAATATGCTAAAATACTGCTTGTATAAATTACTCGCATATGTACATGCATACATACATACGTACTAATCCCAGTAGCGAAAATGGTCACGGATGACATCGTCGCCCTTGCTGTGAATTCTAAACGTCGTATCGCACACCGCCTTCAAAAGAGGTTGTGCCTCAAAATAATACGTTCGTCAGAAAATGCGAAAAACTATTTCGTAGCCCGTACTAATCATATGGGCAAGGGCGACTTTGCCTTAGGTTTTATTAACAATTTATAACAAAAATTTGATCCAGCCTTTGCTGAAAGGTAAGTAAATGCTCTGTGTGCATTTTTTAGCGTATAATTTCAAAAATGCCACGACAATCGGGTCTATGTAACCGGAAAGACCAGATTTATATTTGGCCAAGGACTGTCACTCCAGCAACACTCCCCAAAATTTCATTGGGGAACTTGTATGCTGCTACAACAACAAGAACAAAAATGCCAAATTTTAAGTTGTGACTTTTGAAGACGGTGTGCGTTATATCTGACAATGTCATGCAGGTGTACTACTATCAAAGACTTATAACAGACAATGTGTTGCAGTGGTCACTTATAAAAAAGTTCATTGCAGGACATTGTCGCTTGAATGTCATCATGGATCACTGCATGAAAAAGTCATGCAGAGGCCATCAACGACTAAATTACAATTTGTATGAAAAAGTCATGTACGACTTTCATAAAAACCGACATTGAAGACTAAACGTGGGCGTACAAGAAACTTAAGTGACTAATGCATGATATTCGCTACGGGGATATTTTGTACAACTATTTGCTATTAAATCAAGTATGAAACACAATTTTCTACTCTAGTGAGGGCAGCATTTGGAATTTATAACTTTGAATTTCGAAACAAGAAGATTGGATTCAATATTCCCGATGAGTTGCTATTGCACTATTTAGCTCAACGTCATGATCTTACCAATTTCGTTATAGAAATTGGTCAAGGTAAGTTAAATCTGCATATTCCATTTGGTTCATTGTTTTATTTTAATGTAGTAATGGATTGTAGAAATGGCTATGTATATCTATGTATATATACAACGGTCTACATGAATTGAAATAAATATCCAGGAGGAATTATATGTACATATGTATATCGCTCATTTACTTCAATAGTGTAATAACTCTAAAGAACCAAAATCGAGGCCATAGTAAAAATGAATACATATTTTCTACTAGTAAACTACTGGTAATTGATATATCTATGAAATTTTTACGCAACGTAGAATAAGTATTAACTCTGTATGTATTTTTTGAATTATGACACTATTGATGTAAATGAGCGTTATGTACATACATACATTTACTATTTGATAAAGAAATTTATGTTCCGGCTCTGACAATATACTAGTTATATTATTAATTAAATGTGTATAAGCTATGATTGGGATCAAAATATATTTATAGGGATTTGTTTTAGATAAAATAACTTTTAAGGTTTTTTAAAATTTGTTACTGTAATAAATAACTTCACGCTTACCATACTGCACTTGGCCTCTAGTAAGTTCGTAAACTTATTTACATTAAACGTTCTTTACATTTAATGTTCTTTTTTCTTTCAGCTAATCTATGTGAGGTTTCACAAAATAACGGAATGATGCATTCGCCTTCAGCGGAAAGCTTTATGGCGTCTGACGGTACCATACGTTTACACGAAAATGATCACATCCTGAACGTCAACAGACAAGAATGTGGATATCTGTTTGATAACAAACAACTCAAGTATCCGAAAGTCATAAAAGTTTGCGATGCGCAAAGCATTTTGTCTAATGATTATGAAACACTAAAGAAGGATCGTGCCCACCAAGAGTGCTCAGAACAAGTATCAAGATCTGAATTGCAATCAATTACTGATGAGCGTACAGATCCCAAAACAGAACAGAGTGAGTGCGAATTCGAACGACAGTATGAAATGAAAGTTGACGATGACCAGGATGAGCAGAGCCACAACCCGCATTTAAATTTAGAGACGAGACTGATTGATGTTAACCCTAAAAAAGTAAACTATCAGCAACACCCATTTGAAATGAATCGCTTTAGACGTGGGTATTTTTGTTTTGTTTTATTATTAATAAATACATAATTGGATTTTAAAATTTTGTACAGGGCGCGGAGAAAGAATTTCGAAGGACCAAAAAGAAGTATATGTAAAATATTTTGAAGAAAATCCGTGTATGTTGGCCCAACGTCGAAACGATTCTGTATTGGAACCACATTGGATTAAATTAGCGGCAATCTTAAACAATGTACCTCAGGGAGGGCACCCTGAAATTGTGCATACGAAATAATGCATACGAAAAAAACCGAAATAATGCATATAT